TTTGCAGTAATAACTAGTAACTAGTAAAACTAAATAGTTTGTTTCTGTGTCCAATTTTCAATGAGAACAAACTTACTCAAAAAGTAAGAGTCATAGAAGAAACTTGGAGTGGCGACTGTTTTCCTCACTCTGCTGCCGTTACTTGAACGCAACATATGAATCCCGCCAAAGACAAATCGTTCGACGTCATCGTGCCGCGACAACTAGGACCCAAACAGAGGAGAAACGTCACCGGCGATGCTCTGACACTCACCTGGAGGAAGAGGAGGAGGAGGACGAGGAGGACGAGGAGGATGGAATCTGGTGGAAAGTGTCCGACGGAAGACTCCGAGGAGCGGGAGCGGAGAGAGACCGAGCCTCCGTTCAGCTTCAGGCCGCAGCTCGTCCGCCTGCACAAGGACCACGAGCTGTTCGAGGTAAAGTAGCAACAACGAGCTCCGTCTACTTCCTGGAGGAGGAACCGGCTGTAACGCGCTGTTTGTTTCCAGGATGGAGACATCCACAGACACATGTACCTGCAGGACCTCTACGTCTCACAGGCGGACGACCAGCCGACAACCAGGTATGGAACAAGTGTTAGCTTCTCTCAGTTAACAAGCCACAAACAAAACCTCAGCTACAGACGAACTGAAACATGTTCACACACTGATGACTGTTGGTTGTTCTTCTTGTGCTTCTGCTGTTTGACTGAAGAAGGTTGAACTGTGCAATGTTTTTATCAATCTGTTGACCCTTTTCATAGAAACAATAAATACATGAAGAATTTATTAAGCCAATAACTCTGCACAATAACTGATTAGAGTTTGTTGAGTCTATTTCATTACAGGGGAAATACTGTCCTCAGAAATGTAACAGCAGTAGGTAGGTGAAAGGTTTTTTAAAACTTATCACGAGTTAGTTTGTATTAGATCTAAGATTTTTATTGTCACGCTAGTTATACAAGTATAATCAGGTACAATAAGATACACTACTAACATCTGCTGTCTGCCATCCGATAACATCAACTGGTGGTAGGCATTAATTAGTGTGGTAGAACACACAAGGGATATTCATGTTAAAACATGGGACAGTGTTTAGTTTAAAAAGGCACAGAAGTAAAGATGTCTGATCTACTGAGCGGCCACATGGCTTTCATACAAGCCAGTACCCAGTCAGATTTACCTTGAGCCTCAGTGTACCCTCAGGTTCGGCCTGTATCGTTGATGACAAGGCCATAAGACTAAGGTATACAACCGAAGTTATGTCCCTAATCTGCTGGTAGTTGGTAACTTCAATTTTGCAGAAGACCTTCTTGTCACCGTCTTGTCCTATATTTTAAAAAATTAAAAAAAACTTTGCTGGGAGGCTCTGTAATGGCAAAATAAAGTAGTTAAGTC